AAAAAAAAAAAAATTTGTAGAGAGGAAATCTCCGTATGTTGCCCAGGCTGGTCTCAAACTTTGGGGCTCAAATGATAGTCCTGTGTCGGCCTCCCAAAATCCAGGGATTACAGATGTGAGCCCCCACCATGTCTGGAATGCGCACTTAAATAGATATAAGATGCTTAATTTTATGTTATCTGTTTTGTTTGTTTTTTCTTATTTATTTGTTTTTTTTGGGACAGAATCTCGCTCTCTCACCCAGGCTAGAGTGCGGTGGCATGATCTCAGCTCACTGCAACCTCTGCCTACTGGGTTTAATGACTCTCCTGCCTCAGTCTCCTGTGTAGCTCAAATTACAGGCATATGCCACCATGTCTGGCTAATTTTGTATTTTTAGTAGAGACAGGGTTTCACCACGTTGGCCAGGCTGGTCTGGAGCTCCTGACCTCAAGTGATCTGCCTGCCTCGGCCTCCCAAAGTGCTGGGATGACAGGAGTGAGCCACCGTGACCAGCCTGTTATGTGTTTTTACAACAATTAATTTTTCTAAAGGAAAAACACAAAAAAATACAGAATTATAAATCTTCTCAAAAATTACCTTCAAATCACAAAAGTGTCTTTCTCACACAAAGAAAATATATATGCAGTGGCTCATGCCTGCAATCCCAGCACTTTGGGAAGCCAAGGTGGGTGGATCACGAGGTCAGGAGATTTGAGACTATCCTGGCTAACATGGTGAAACCCCATCTCTACTAAAAATACAAAAAATTAGCCGGGTGTGGTGGCAGACAACTGTAGTCTCAGCTACTTGGGACGCTGAGGCAGGAGAATCACTTGAACCCAAGAGGCAGAGGTTGCAGTGAGCCGAGATTATGCCACTGCACACCAGCCTGAGTGAAAGAGTGAGACTCCGTCTCAAAAAAAAAAAAAAAAAAAATTTATATATATACATATATATACACACATATATTCATCATTAAACACATGGTGAGAATAAGACATAAAGAAAATATTTTCATGACTACTCAGACAAGATAAAACTGTCACTGAAAATCAGCTAAGAAAGAATATATATGATAAGTCATAACCAATAATGAGGTCATATTTATAGATAAAACACACACATATATAATCTGATCATGATAGATGTATGGCTGACTTATCTCTTAATTAAACCTCACATTGACTTAAAGTATACAAACAGAATTGCAAATTGGTTAAAATTATAAGAAAAACTAAAAAACACAACAAGCTGATGTTAGGAAATATACACTGAAAAATACTAATAAGAAACTGTGTAATAAGAGACATGTTTACTCATAAAATCTGGTATGCAACATTAATGTGCCATTAAAAAAGAACTGTCTGGATAACTACAATAGTTGACTGTGTACTCAGGGAAGGCAGGTATTTTGAATCACTGGCATGCACTGTATGGCAGTAAAATTTCACAGAATATGCAGTATCATTATAAATAGAATAGTCTAACAAGAAACTTTAAAAAAAAAGCATGTTAAAAATGTGACACATTTTATGTTTTAAATATATGCTATTCTTACACAAAATTGAAACAACTGTAATCCAACTTTAGAAGCAAAGAATATCATTACACCGCTAAATTAAAACTTATATTTTGCAAAACAGGGTTAGAGCCTCTGATATGTAAAACAAATATTTAGAAATAAATTATGTTGGGCTGGGCACAATGGCTCATGCCTGTAATCCCAGCATTTTGGGAGGCTGAGGCAGGTGGATCACAAGGTCAGGAGTTCGAGACCAGCCTGGCCAATATGGTGAAACCCCGTTTCTACTAAAAATACAAAAAACTAGCTAGGTGTGGTGGCACATGCCTGTAGTCCCACCTATTCAGGAGGCTGAGGCAGGAGAATAGCCTGAACCTGGGAGGTGGAGGTTGCAGTGAGCCTAGATCATGCCACTGCACTCTAGCCTGGGTGACACACTGAGATAAAGAAAAGAAAAGAAAAGAAAAAGAAAAGGAGAAGAAAAGGAAAGGAAGAAAGAAAAGAAAGAAGGAAATTATGTTATCATTTAGATATATGCTGAAGAAAGTGGGTGAAAATCCTTTAAATCCTTTTTACCTGCAGCAAACTTAAATTTATAAGTAACCATTTTAGTAATATGGAGTGCCTACCAATTATCTAATTTACTTCAGGTATAACATGTAAACTCTAGCATATTGTCCTAAATGTCTGAATCTAAAATGACAGACAAGTTTGAAATAGAAAATAGAAAGTAAAAATGTATGGAAAGAGTAACATCAGTGACATACAAAAATAGAAGGTGCTCTATTTGATTAACCTCGCCACAACAAAAAAATTACTCAGTCATCCCTGACAAAAAATGCCTTCAGGAGAGAGCCAGGCATCATGGCTCACATCTGTAATGACAGCTACATGGTACACTGAGGTTGGAGAATTGCTGCAGGACTGGATTTCAAGATCAGCCGAGATAATAAACAAGATCCTATCTCCAAAGTAAGTGCCTTTAAGAGAGCTTTGAGATGCAGGGAGGGAGTTGTGAAACACTGCTAAAGCCCAAGATTGAGGGGTGTTTTTTCAGAGGACAGGCACTTATTCATGTGGGAAACTACAGGACCCTTGGTTTTGGCTACAGATCAAGAAATGGCTCACCCAACTTGGTCCAACAGAGAATTCTGAAGTTAACTCTATAACCATCCCAAACTCCTCCTGGTTACAGTCTAGGAAAGGTCCTGCCCTTCCAGAGACCTGGAGGAAGACACCCATTTGCAGTCTTGCAGACAGGACTACAGACCTTGGTTTTTACTGTGGTCCCTGAAGCAGTCCAAAGACTCAGTTCCAGCTCTCTGAGCCACAGATCATGATCAGTTTTTCCTAAATAGAAACCCACACAGTGAAATGAAGAAATCCTCTCTGGTACTCAGTGAAAGCAATACCCATTCACATCCTGATATAAGGGCCATTATACATGGAGCCAACTGCAGAAATCTGCCTTAGTGTCTGCCCTACAAATCAAAGTCTTAACGAATATATACAATCTGTCCAAAAACAAAATGGGAATTACAAGTACCCAAGCCCTTGTGACAAGCCATCTAAAGGTGGACTCTAGTGCAGACCCAGCAGCTTTGTGACAAAAACTACAACCCCTCTTCACTACAAACCTAGAGGGCATCCCATCACCCTAGGGACGCAACAGAAAAAGATCTTTACCTCCTGAAACCTGTTTATAAAAGCTAAGGAGTTGTTTGCTCCTTCAAATTCACAGATGCCAATATAAAACCATATTGTGCCCATTGTCAATGTTTCTATTTTAACGTAGCACCGAAAGTGTGTGGCACAAGAATTAGTCAAAAACATTTTTAAAAAGCCATTGGAATTAAAGAGAAATAAGTAAAAAGTTGCTGTTTGTGGATCATATGATCTTATATATTAAAAAAACACAAACAGTACATTAAAATTTGTCTAAACAGCCAGGTGCAGTAGCTCACACCTGTAATCCCAGCATTTTGGGAGGCTGACAGGGGCAAATCACAAGGTCAGGAGTTCAAGACCAGCCTGGCCAACGTAGTGAAATCCTGTCTTACTAAAAATGCAAAAAAAAAAAAAAAAAATGTAGCTGGGCATGGTGCCGGGCACCTGTAGTCCCAACTACTTGGGAGGCTGAGGCAAGAAAATCACTTGAATCTAGGATGCAGAGGTTGTGGTGAGCTGAGATTATGCCATTGCACTCCAGCCTAGGCAACACAGTGAGACTGTGTCTCAAAAAAAGAAAAAAAAGAAAAATTTGTCTAAACTAATAAACACAGTCAGTAACTTAACAAAATATAAAATTAACATACAAGTTATGGTTCCATACACTTAAAACAAACTATCTGATACAACAGAGGAAGAAAATAATCTTATGAACAATAGCATTAAAATATATTTCTGAGAACAAATATAATGAAGGTAAAAAATCTTTACAATGAAATACATAAGATATCAATGAAAAAAATTAGAGAAGACAAAAATAAATTTTAAAATATTTAATGTCGGCCGGGCGCAGTGGCTCATGCCTGTAATCCCAGCACTTTGGGAGGCCGAGGTGGACAGATCACAAGGTCAGGAGTCTGGGACCAGCCTGAATAGCATGGTGAAACTCCATCTCTACTAAAAATACAAAAAATTAGCTATGTGTGGTGGCACAAGCCTGTAGTACCAGCTACTCAGAAGGCTGAAGCAGGAGAGAATCACTTGAACACAGGAAGTGGAGGTTGCAGTGAGCCAAGATTGTACCACTGCACTCCAGCCTGGTGACAGAGTGAGATTCTGTCTCAAAAAAAAAAAAAAAAAAAAAAAATTTCATGTCTAGGATTGAAAGAATAAATATTGTTAAAATGCCATATTATCTAAAGTAATCTATACATTTAATAAACTATGATAATTCCAGTGACTTTTCTTCACAGTAGAAAATACAATTCTAAAATTTACAAGAAATTGTAATAAACTTCAAATACCCAAAGCATTCTTGAGAAAAAAGAACAAAGCAGAGGGACATCATAATTTATAATTTCAAACTATATTTTAAGACTATAGTAATACAAACGGGATGGAATATGCAAAAATATTAACAAGAAACGCTTAATGGAACAGAAATCACTACTCTCACATATTTCAGACAGGATTCAAAAAGAGAACTAAAAAATAATTTAACAAAGAATTTTTCAAAATTATACAGACATTTGTGTGTCCCCCCAAAAAATAAAAAAGCAGTCAGATTGTACAGTCTTTTATATGCTATGACAAGAATTTTGGCTTTCACTGTATGCTTGAAGGAAGGTCCCCCAAGAAAAAGTAAAATTCTTAGAGAATTTAAAAGCATAAGACAGAAAATGCCCCCATGTGAGAAAAAATCTTAAGAAAATATTCAGGCCTCTCAGAAACTAGATGCTTCCCAAATCACACTGTAAGGACTGGCATATATGCTTTTTTTTTTTTTAACCTTTGAACCTCTCATCTGTTTTTTTTCACTCTCACCTACCTGGGGGTTCATCCACCATCTCATGTTTCTTCATATTCCAGGGCTCTTTTTCTTGCTCCAGACAGGTGACTGGGTCTTGCTTAGAGACAGCAATACCTGCTTTATTAAAAACAAATAACATGAATATTGCCTATATTCTCTAATTACTAACCTAGTACTGTGCTCAGTAAAAAGGATGTGACAGAATATTCTAGAAAACCCAAAGGGAGGCCGAGACGGGCAGATCACCTGAGGTCAGAAGTTTGAGACCAACCTGTCCAACATGGTGAAACTCCCATCTTTACTAAAAATACAAAATTAGCTGGGCATGGTGGCGGGTGCCTGTAGTCCCAGCTACTCCAGAGGCTCAGAGGGAGAATTGCTTGCACCCGGGAGGCGGAGGTGGCAGGTAGTAGCGCCACTGCACTCCAGTCTAGGCAACAAGAGAAAAATTCTGTTTCAAAAACAAAAAAGTGTTTTGGCCAGGCATAGTGGCTCACACTGTAATCCCAGCAATTTGGAAGGGCAAGGCGGGTGGATCCCCTGAGGTCAGGAGTTTGAAACCAGCCTGGCCAACACGGTGAAACACCATACCTACTAAAAATACAAAAATTTGCTGGGCACAGAGGTGCACACCTGTAATCCCAGCTACTTGGGAGGCTGAGGCAGGAGAATCGCTTGAACCCAGGGTAGAGGCTGCAGTGAGCCAAGATCACATCATTGCACTCTAGCCTGGGCGACAGGGTGAGATTCCATCTCAAAAAAAATAAATAAATAAACAAATAAAATTAATCCGAAAATACTAACTAAAGAGAAACATCTCTAACTATTTAGAAAATATTTTAAATTTGTAGGTTTTTAATTTTACTACCTGAATCCAAAATTGGTGATGGCAAATAGATTTTAAGATATGGGTAATGATAGTTTATGCCACTAAATTTCTGGAATTACCACTAATCTAGAGTGAAGGATACACATCAGCTCAGGAATGTGGAAAGTTTAGATCAAGATGAAACATGTTGAAGAAATTCTTTTCCACACAGATAAATCATCAAGATTTTCTTGAAAACTGGGATCAGAAACTCACTTATGCAAAGCATAAATTATCAAAAAAATTCTACAAAATAGAGACATAAAACCTTTAGGGTATATTAAAAATTGTGTATTAAAGTTATCCTCACCCAAGAAGACCAAGTTTTTGTAGTTCTCTAACATCACATTCATATATAAATTCTGCTGAGCAGGGTTCAGGCATTCCCACTCCTCCAGAGAGAATTCTATGGCCACATCCCTAAATGTCAATGTCTCCTGAAAAACACACACACACAGACACACATGTATTTACCAAGGGGCCATGGGCAGAATTTATTATTTGAATTGAGGTGAAATGAGAGAGTAAAGAGAACTGATTCTGACTTACAAGAATAACTGAAATTATCCAATAATTTTTAACACAGAAATATTTTCTAATGTATTCTCTTACTCTGAGGGCAGAGAATGGCGTAAGATTCACAACACCAGTGCATATATGATACTTCTCTGGATGATAACGTATATAATTAAGGACACAAACACAAACATATACATCACTGAGTGCTATACTTACATCATAATGAGTTGTGTATATTTTTCAGACAAGAAAAAACAAGTTCAGTTAGAAGGTACCTCTCAAATTTTAATGTGTACAATAGACTGGAGATCCTGTTGTGAAGATTTTTTTTTATATATATATTTTTCAGAAGGTCTGGAATAAAGTCTGAGTTTTTAAAATTCTAACAAGGTCACTAGTAATGCTAATGTTTTTAACCGAGGAAGACTATTTTGTCAAACATTAGGCAAGTGAAAGAGACTGTGTTTTTCCCAAATTTTCTGGCTTGTAAACAAAGATAAGAGTCTTCATTTTCCAAATACAGATACATGCAAAAAAACAACAAACAAACAAACAAAAAAAGCCTAAGGAAAAAACCCAGATTAATTGTGATGGTTTATGCACATTAGCTGTATAAAGATACTTAATAATAAAGAAAAAAATAATTAACTCTACAGTGAAAAAAAAGTCAGAGAGCTCTTTAATTATTAATATCAACTACACTAGAACAAATTTTTATGATGTGCTGATGCACACAGAAGAACATAGCATCACTGCTGAGATATTGCTCCTCAAAAAGTCAATTATAGACTGAATTTAACCTAAAAAAAATCAGTTTTATGCAAAGGTCAAGATCTCTCTCGCATACCATAATTTTAATAATGATTTTAAGTAGTCTTTCTTTAGCACTCTAGAGACCAGGTATCTCTTAATGCTTTTTTCAGAACTTCCTGGGTTTAGATGAAACCACAACGTATATGTTCTCCATCTTTATTAAGGACCTCAGCTTTCCCCCAATAGGAATCTTGAGTATCCACATCTTCCCATGTTCAACAGTCACAAAAGGAACACTTTCAATATGGCAGATCAAAAATTCATGGTAGGAATTCTGCATTGCATATAAAAGGCCATGATGTAGAGAAGGCTCTGGTACACGAGAAACTTTTTTTTTTTTTTTGAGACAGAGTTTTGCTCTCATTGCCCAGGCTGAAGTGCAATGGTGCCATCTCGGCTCACCGCAACCTCTGCCTCCCAGGTTCAAGTGATTCTCCTGCCTCAGCCTCCTAGTAGCTAGGATTACAGGCACGTGACACCACGCCCAGCTCATTTTGTATTTTTAGTAGAGATGGGGTTTATCCATCTTGGTCAGGCTGGTCTTGAACTCCCAACCTCAGGTGATCCACTTGTCTCGGACTCCCAAAATCCTGGGATTACAGGCATGAGCCACCATGCCTGGCCAGAAACAAATATTTTTTAGAGACCCTTGACTGTCACAAGAATTTTTTAAAGTACCTCAAACAAACTCATTGGGGAGGAAAAACACAAGTAGAGAAGGTTTACAAGTACTAAACTGCACTCCAGGAGGCAGAGTGGACACAGCTATTGATCTGAGACATGTGTAGCTGAAAGAAGCCATTATTCCTCTTTCTCCTCCTTCTCTGGAAATCCTTTTCAGATAAAATTCTCTGGACAAGTAACACCTGCATCTTGAGGAAATTCCCTTAAAGGCATCAGCACCACCTCCACACACAGACACTAGCCTCACAACCACAGACAGAAGGACCAAGACCAAAAAGTCCACGCATTTCTCTCCTTTATAACAGAAGAGATTCAGGAAAAAATGAGTTGCTCCATGGAAATAAAAATATATGTTCCTCTTTTCCTGTCCACAGCTGCCCTCCCCTGCCACAGACACCAGCAAATTCTGCTACAGTAATGGAACCTCCGCCTCCCAGGTTCAAGAGATTCTCCTGCCTCAGCTTCCTGAGTAGCTGGGACTATAGGCACATGCCACCAAACCCAGCTAATTTTTGTATTTTTACAAGATGCAGAAAGGAAAGAAGGCCTAGGGGAAGAAGGAGGCTCCAGCCCCTGCTGTTATGAACAAGCAGGAGGCCAAGAGAGTGGTTAATTTCCTGTTTGGGAAAAGGCCTAAGAATTGTGGCACTCGGCAGGACATCCAGCCCAAAAGGGGCCTCACCCAAAATGGCCCTGCTATATGAGGTTGCAGCAGCAGAGAGCCATCCTCTATAAGTGGCTGAAAGTGTTCTTCTGCAATTAACCAGTTCACCCAGGCCCTGGACCACCAAACAGCTACTCAGCTGCTTAAGCTGGCCTACAAGTACAGACCAGAGACAAAGCAAGAGGAGAAGCAGAGGCTGTTGGCCCAGGCTGAGAAGAAAGCTGCTAGCAAAGGGGACATCCCCATTAAGATCACCTGTCCTACAAGCAGGAGTTAACACTATCACCACCTTGGTGGAGAAAAAGAAAGCTCAGCTGGTGGTGACTGCACATGACGTGGATCCCATCGAGCTAGTTGTCTTCTTGCCTGCCCTGTGTCGTAAAATGGGAGTCTCTTACTGCATTATCAAGGGGAAGGTAAGACTGGGACGTCTAGTCCACAGGAAGACCTGCACCACTGTCGTCTTCACACAGGTTAACTGAGAAGACAAAGGTGCTTTGGCTAAGCTGGTGGAAGCTATCAGGACCAATTACAATGACAGATAGGATGAGATCTGCCATCACTGGGGAGAGAAGGTTCTGGGTCTCAAGTCGGTGGCTCAGATTGCCACACCCAAAAAGGCAAAGTCTAAAGAACTTGCCTCTAAACTGGGTTAAATGTACACTGTTGAGCTTTCTACACATAAAAATAATTAAAATAATACAAACTTTCCTTCAAAAAAAAAAAAAGAAAGAAAAACTTTACAACTACTGAATCTTCTGTCTTTGTATTTACATGTGTTGTGTGTGTGATATGAAAGAACTCTGATTAATTGGTTTAAAAATAATAAGAGCTTAAATCAAATATTTTGTCAGAAAAGTAAAAAGTGTAACACCTTTTAGTTCATGTGACAAGTAATCTTTTGGATATAAAAACAGTTTTAAAGATCATTGGGAAAACAAAAATGTCTTCAAAACATAAACATTTGATCTAAATTATATAGGTCACATATTAGATTTACCAAATACTTAAAGGTCATAAATTGGTTCTTTGACTTTTAAAAATTGTTCAATTTACTTATCTTGAAGCCAGTAGATTCTAAATAAGGCCTTGGGACATATGGAATTAGCCATGCCCCCTAAATATACAAAGGCTATAAAGAAAAGAGATTTCATATAAGAAAAGATGTTGTATAGTAAATTATTAACCTAAAATAAAATGACTGGTTATTTAAAAAGAGGAATGTTTAGGACAAATCAGAAAGCCCAAGCATATTGTAGATGGTCTGTATAAGTTATGAAATAATTCACTAAAAGAAACTTACGCAAGAAATGTTATACAATTTAAAGGTCATTAGGCCTCTTAAAGACTTCTCAAAATGCCACTATGACTGTTCACTGTACAGCCTGTCTGCTTTATAGCTAGGTAAGGCCTGGGACACATCAAGTTAGCCACACCCCCTAACTATTAATACACTGGTGTCAGACCTTATATACACTTGTGTCTGTGTCCTAGATTCCACGCCTAGTATGTAATTAAAATCCCTTACTTACCAAGGGTTTCATCAAAAGTAAAAGTTGCTAAGAGTTAACACTGTAACATGTAACTTTGACTACTGAAAAACAGTTTTACATGCAAGGAATTCAGAGAAAGTGAAATGTGTTTTTTTTTTTTTTTTTTTTTGAGACGGAGTCTCGCTCTGTCGCCCAGGCTGGAGTGCAGTGGCACAATCTCGGCTCACTGCAAGCTCCGCCTCCCGGGTTCACGCCATTCTCCTACCTCAGCCTCCCGAGTAGCTGGGACTACAGGCGCCCGCCACTGCGCCCGGCTAATTTTTTTTCTATTTTTTTTTAGTAGAGACGGGGTTTCACCATGGTCTCGATCTCCTGACCTTGTGATCCGCCCGCCTCGGCCTCCCAAAGTGCTGGGATTACAGGCGTGAGCCACCGCGCCCGGCCGTGAAATGTGTTTTTGATAAAAGGTTATAAGACACGGAAATGTGGATTTTTTTTTGGCCTAGATTAAAAGGTTAGAGGAATGTTTTTAATTAGATAGAATACAATTGAAGGTTTAAACAAACTGTGGAAGATTTGCTAAAATTTAATTGCAAAATCAATTCTGTGTGTGAACATACTGACTAAAGTTAAATGGATATTATACAGTTTTTCTAGAAATTGAACATTGAGATAAAAATGACAGGTTTCTCTTAAAGCACTGATCTACTCTTTAACAACAAGGACTTTCTGAAGAGTTATACAAGGTTTATGAGAATATTAACTTATAGTCAAACCTTAAAATTAGATTTGTCTATAAAGATTCATTAAGAGGCTGTGCATGGTGGCTCATGCCTGTAATCTCAGCACTTTGGGAGGACAAGGTGGGCTGATCACAAGGTCAGGAGTTCAAGACCAGCCTGGCCAACATGGTGAAACCAGTCTCTACTAAAGATACAAAAAAATTAGCCGGGTGTTGTGGTGTACGCCTGTAACCCAGCTACTCAAGAGGCTGACGCAGGAGAATCGCTTGAACCCAGGAGGCAGAGGTTCCAGTGAGCTGAGATCATGCCATAGCACTCCAGCCTGGGCAACAGGGCGAGACTCTGTCTCAAAAAAAAAAAAAAAAAATTAAAAAACATTCATTAAGAATTGGGTTTGATATAAATAATACATAATGGTAAAAATTTGGCTCATTTAGCATAAAAATCACACAGAAAAGACTGTCAAATGTGAAATCATGTTTGACTATTTTTAGACTATGTTTGTGTAAATATGTTATTGGTATGTGTTTCAAAATTAAGGAAAACTGTAATTCTAATATGACTAATATAACTAATATGATAATATAACTATCCTCAGTCTGAGTCAAAATACATTATTTTATGTCTCTTCTAAGAACATGCTGACTTCATGGTAAAACATCATTAATAATCACAATCATTACATAAAATTATTGTATGACACAGAGCTAACCAAATTTCCTTGTCAATCATGGGTTTTCTTTTTGTTTGTTTTTCACTGTGACTGCCCTAAGACTTTGTCATCCAGACAATTATCTTGTGTTGATACTCTTCAAAAGATGATTTATAGTTAACTTTGACAGATGTTCTATTTTTTTTTTTCTTTCGAGATGGAGTCTTGCTCTGTTGCCCAGGCTAGAGTGCAATGAAGCAATCTCAGCTTACTGCAACCTCTGCCTCCCAGGTTTGAGTAATTCTCTTGCCTCAGCCTCCCAACTAGGCTGGGATTACAGGCGTCCACCCCACGTCCAGCTATTTTTATATATATATATTTTTAATAGAGACAGGGTTTCACCATGTTGGTCAGGCTGGTCTTGAACTCCTGACCTCATATAATCCACCTGCCTCGGCCTCCCAAAGTGCTGAGATTACAGGCATGAGCCACTGCACCTAGCGACAGATGTTCTTAAATGCAAGTGTGTGATAACTTTAGAAACTGTGACATTAGAATAGAGAAAAAACTTTCAGTAGTCATAGAGAACTGGAATGTTCATGACTATCAAACTGAATAGGAATTAACTGAATGGATGGAACTAATAGAAGACTAAAGTAATATTTTCTGACTTCGCATAAAATGTCACTGATCCTTTGTTTTGTTTTTCAGGGTCAAGAAAACTCTGACTAGTTAGGTAAAAATATTATCACCCCTATTCAGCATGAAGTAGTTACAGAACATGGATCTTCATCCTTCTACAACCCTTAGGATTAAGTGCACCCTTGTGAAAAAGAGAGGGGAGATGTCAGAGGAACCAGAGCAAATCCATCTTGAATAGGGGCTGGGTAAAACAGGGCTGAGTCTAAATGGGCTGCATTCCTGGATCGTTAAGCATTCTAAGTAACAGGATAGGATAGAAGCTCAGCACAAGATACAAGTCATAAAGACCTTGTGGATAAAACAGGTTGCAATAAAGAAGTCAAATAAAACCCACCAAAACCAAGATGTGACGAGAGTGACCTCTGATTGCCCTCACTGCTACCACTCCCACAAGTGTCATGACAGCTTACAAATACCATGGAAACATTAGGAAGTTATCCTATATAGTCTAAAATTGGGAGGCATAAATAACCCACCCCTTGTTTAGCATATAATCAAGAAATAACCATAAAAATGTGCAAACAGCAGCCCTTGGGCTGCTCTGCCTATAGAGTAAGCCATTCTTTTATTCCTTTACTTTCTTCTCTTTTTTTTTCCTTTTTTTTTTTTTTTTTTTTTTTTGAGACAGTCTCACTCTGTCACCCAGGCTGGAGTGCAGTGGCACGATCTCAGCTCACTGCAACCTCTGCCTCCTGGGTTCAAGTGATTATTTTGCCTCAGTCTCCTGAGTATCTGGGATTACAGGTGTGCATCACCAAGCCTGGCTAATTTTTACATTTTTACTAGAGATGGGGTTTCACCATGTTGATCAGGCTGGTCTCAAACTTCTGACCTTGAGATTTCTTAATACTTCCTTTTACTTTATGGACTCACCCTGAATTTTTTCTTGAGCAAAATCTAAGAACCCTCTTGTGGGGCTTAGATTGGGACCTCTTTCCGGTAAGAACTCTGCACATTTTCCTCTTTTTCCAATTAAAAGAATCAGCTGAATTTGTCTTCAGTGGACTAAATAAAATTTTTCACAGGCTCCAGAACTTTGAACTATCCTCAGTCTGAGTCAACATACAAGCTTATTTTATGTCCTTTTAAGAACATGCTGACTTCATGGCAAAACATTCTCTGATCTAAAATCTGATTTTTCACTCTTCATTTGCCATTCCCCTCCCACCTTCTCTCTAATCTTGTTTGCTCCTCCCTAGGAAAGGAAGCCCTTGTCAGTCTAAACTTTCCAATACTTAAAGTTTTTATAATTGGTACTTCTTCCTGTTGCAATACTCTTTTGGAATTCGATTTTTTTTTAACATAAATCTAACTTTGTTTGATATCCAAAGCCTAGAAACTGCCTCAAAACAGTAACAACATCATCAGTAAGACCCTCTCAGTCCACTTTCATCTTAACCCTAACTGCCTTTGCCTGTGGGTCCCCAGCTTTCCAGGGTTGTGTCAGCAGAAAGGCTTCTTCCATGGCTGGGGTGAGCAGACTGGACATCTGCAGGGGAGGCTACCCAGAAAAAAACTAGAATGGCCTTTATTTGTTTGTTTTTTTTGAGATGGAGTCTCGCTCTGTCGCCCAGGCTGGAGAGCAGTTGTGCGATCTCGGTTCACTGCTAGCTCCGCCTCCCAGGTTCACGCCATTCACCTGCCTTAGCCCGGCTGATTTTTTAGTATTTTTAGTAGAGATGGAGTTTCACTGTGTTAGCCAGGATGGTCTCGATTTCCTGACCTCGTGATCCACCCACCTCGGCCTCCCAAAATGCTGGGATTACAGGCGTGAGCCACCACATAGGTGGGTCTTTAATAACCTCCTTTTGCAGCCTCAATATTAGCCTTAGGTCTTAGTCACTGGGCTCAAGCTTTAATTTCCATGTTAGAGTTACTCCCTTGGTTTTTGAAATTATGTGTTTGAAAAATCCAGCAAAATTACTCAAACACAGGGAAGGAAATTTTAAGGTACTTACATTTTGTACCTCAATAAGAAAAGCAAAAGTATCTATTCCTTTCAGACAACATATCTATTATTTTATTGTTTTCATTAAAAACCACATAGTAAACAATTAGTCATATGGGAACACTTCTAGGTGATACCAAGTTTCATCTCATAAAATTTAGCATGAAACTTAGAAATCAAGATAACAGGATTTGAATAGAGATTCACTGTCACAAATTTACCCCACAAAAAGAGGAACTGATGTTTTCACAAATCTATGTAACTCACCAATTACCTACCACATTATCTCATGGAAATGTATTCATTCTCTACAGCCAAAATAGAATAGAGATTTTCCCCTATTCTTTTCCTTGGTAGCTAGCATTCTAAAAGCTAAGCCTTGGAATTCTGTTTGAATGCACCCAGCCATAAAAAAAAAAACACACCTGAGAAAACTTGTACAATACTCACTCTGGGAAAGAAAAAGGTAAATGAGAATTTTTAACAAATGGAATATATAATTAGATATTAATTTTTTTTAAACCCACCTCTTTTATGCACTTTGTAAATATTTTCCTACCTGCCAGGCACAGTGGCTCATGCCTGTAATCCCAGCACTTGAGGAGGCCGAGGCAGGCAGATTATCTGAGGTCAGGAGTTCGAGACCAGCCTGGCCAACATGGTGAAACCCCGTCTCTACTAAAAAAATACAAAAAATTAGCTGGGTGTGGTGGTGTGTGCCTGTAATCTCAGCTACTTAGGAGGATGAGGTAGGAGAATTGCTTGAACCTGGGAGGTGGAGGTTGCAGTGAGCCAAGATCAAGCCACTGCACTCCAGCCTGGGCAGCAAGAGTGAAACTCTGTTTAAAAAAAAAAAAATTTCCTACCTTTCAAGCCCTACTAATATAATGCAATTTACAGCAAAAAAGTGAGGTCAAAATAAGTAAACAAATATTTTGAAAGTGCCAAACCCAGGGAGTGGCAGTGCTGATTAAAAAACAAATGTGTGTCTGACTCATGTTTCAAGTCAGGCCACTCAATCACTTGAGAGATTCTTCCACCCACTCTTGCTCACTTATGTGCTCATGAACCACCCATTCAGGAGACACTGCATTATGTCTCGGAGACTGCTCCAGAGGTATTTTACTTTGCAAATTCTTACACCATCTCACTAGAGTCAAGTTTTTCTTCTGTTTGTTTTGTTTTTTTCTGGTCCTTTGGGATACTATTTTATCTGTCACAAATTTTTCACTTTTTAATACTATTTTTCTTCCACTATATTTATTTCATTATCTTTCTGCCCCCTTAGACAATCCAGGGGGCAGAAATTATTTCTGGGTTTTCCTCTCAGCTCCAGCATCTGATTGGCTGACCAGCAATGTGTCCCCAAGAAAGGAAAGCTGGGTTGGGTGTAGACCATTTTAACGTCTCAAGAGGTTACCTTTTCAAAATAAGAGTACACCAGAAGATTCCTCTCAGCCGCAGGGCATCCACTTGCTCCCTTGAGAGGATACACTCCAGACCTCAGGTCTTCCTATGGAAGAAAATAAACCAGAAGCTGATATTCACTAAGCACTTTAGCTGACATAACCACAGTGGGTATCTTGGTTTATCCCCAGACAGTACTGAAATCCATGACCAGAAAAAAACTAAAAGGTGGCTGAGGACACATCACCCCATAAAGTTTCGAAAGGAAAACCTTGACCCAAAAACATTCTGACAAGATCTCTGTGCCTAGAGAAGACACAAGGAGAAGAGGCACAGAGAGTTTTTACAGTACAGTGTCAGGGGATTATTCTTTGCTTTCTTCTCATGGGAAATATTTACAGATAACAAACCTTTTAAAAAGCGTCATTTAATGCTTTGTCAAAAATTAATTAATTAAAATACGGTATAGAAAAGTACACTAAAAGACAAATAGGCGATAACGTGAATTAGGGAGGAAAAGCTGGCATTTGGAAACACCAGGAGGAACTGGAAATTTAGTATCTTACTGCAAGCCAGTGATGCTGGAGAAATGGGGAATGGCGGTTAGACTTAAGAACCTGCTTGGGACACAGGTGAAAACTGCAGCGGAAAATCAGCTCCCTGTGGACTGTGAAAATAATTAAAAGGCAGGCAATTAGACTGAGGTATCTCTAGTCTCTGGGTTCCTACTAAAAAAAAAATCTAACTGAAGTGCATTTTTTAGTAAATTACTGCATTGAGAGAAACAAAATTCAGCCTTAACCAACTATAAACTGTCAATTAACCTCTGATTACATAATCAGGAAATTTTCACTTTTATTGTACAAATTAAGAAACTATGTAACTCTACCTAACCAATTACTGAATTTGGTTTTCTTCATCACGCTTTTTACAAAAGTCTTTTCAAGCCCCGCCCATGAACCACAAATTACAAACCAAAGCTGGGTGCTTCACAATTTTTGAATCACTCTTTGATTATATTATTTAATGTTTTTGTAGTGACTCTCATATATTTTTAACAGAAGGCAAGAGGAACTGGGAACCCACGGAACAAAGCTCTTCCCATTCATAAACCCGCACCCCAAGTCGGAATTGTCCCCTAAAGACCCTCCCGTGGTCCCTGCACAACCTGGGAAAGACGCGGCGCTGCGGGGGCAGAGCTGCCCAGAGAGGCCTCCAGGCCAGGGCACAATCACTGCACAAGGAAGTGACAGGACGCCCGCGGTACCGACTGTCAGCGCAGCCGCCATCTTATGGCCGGGACTGAGGCCGAGCCGGGCAAGGAGAATTCCGGGCGCAGACTGCGGAGCTGACTGCAGGGAGGCCTGAGTCCCGCCACAGCCACTTCCCACTGGTTACAATCAGCCCTTCCCCTTCTCTCGGGATGTCCGACCCAGCACTCTCACCATTTCTGGGCTTTCAGGGGGTACCGGTGTCTTAGCTGTGGGTCTCCCAATACCTGCAGGTCACAGGGTCACAGAGGCCGGGACTCTAGGAGCAGAGGACACACAGCAATGAAGGTAAGACCTGAAGCTCAGGCTGCAGTGAGAGACAAAGGCCCCGCCACATCCCGGAAGCCGTCCTGTCCGCTCCAGCTGCGTGCCTGATTGGACGGTTCCCAGTCTAGCGTCGCTGATTGGATAACGTTTAAAACCCCACCCTCTCAGGCCCTGAGTGACAGAAGATGCGATCAGATGCTGGGCTTAGTGAAGAAAGAGTGACAGTCTTGGCTGCAGCCTTCTCAAGCAGCGCTTCCTCCTTGAGCTGAGCCCGGCCCACCCCAGATGGTATTTGCATTTAACCTTGTGTGTAAAGTCACATGCATTTATAAAATACTGTATGCCTATTCACAAATGAAAATAATATAATAATTATTTTAAAATTTCGGATTTTATGACGTCGGCTTCTGGTCTTTGAGCAGGCAGGCTGAAATTTTAGAACGGAGGTAATTTTCTGAAATAAAATGTGAGCCACATGTAAATTTTAAATTCTCTAGTAACCAAACTTTTAAAAGAAAAAAGGAACAGGTTGAATTGATTATAACAATTTAATTAACCCAAAATATGAAAAAAAATTTCATTTTAATATGTAAAAAATATGTGATTATTAATAAAGTATATAAATATTTGAAACGAAATTTTTGAAACTAACTCTGTGTTAGCACATCGCAGTTCAGACCAGGAACATTCCAGGCACCCAGGAGCTACACATGACCAAAGCTTCCACATTGAAGTGCAGCTCTGATGTCGGGGGATGAAGGGCCCCAGAGAACCTTTTCTGCCAGAGGTGAAGGCAGAGCCTCGCTCTACCAACATCTCCCTTCAGTTCTGAGGGTGGAAGAGATAGTGACCATGGAAAGAGCAGAGGGCAGCAGAAATAAAATAACCACAAGGAGACCAGTGATGGCCACCTGTTGCCCATTTTCTTTCAGAGATCAGACAGTGAACAAAGAATGTTGGGGATAATAAAACTCTATGTCTTCAGATCTGTCCACGCTCTTGATCTCAAATGTTTAGATATGGGCCGGGCGCGGTGGCTCAAGCCTGTAATCCCAGCACTTTGGGAGGCCGAGATGGGCGGATCACGAGGTCAGGAGATCGAGACCATCCTGGCTAACACTGTGAAACCCCATCTCTACTAAGAAATACAAAAAACTAGCCGGGTGAGGTGGCGGGTGCCTATAGTCCCAGCTAGTCCGGAGGCTGAGGCAGGAGAATGGCATAAAGCCGGGAGGCGGAGCTTGCAGTGAGCTGAGATCAGGCCACTGCACTCCAGCCTGGGCAACAAAGCGAGACTCTGTCTCAAAAAAAAAAAAAAAAAAAAAAAAAAAAAAAAAAATGTTTAGATATGAAGAAAATAGATTAAAGGTAAAACTTATTTTGCTATTGGCCTTGGTCCTAATGGTCAGGCTGTAGTTATCTGTTTTCTCCTGTGGTGTGTGGGACTATGCAGGTATAAGCGCCAATCCCATGCATACATGTCTACCTGTATTTCTGCATTACTCAACATTCTCTTACAAGACATCTAACTTTAAATCAGAGGGAAAAAATCAGTACCTATAGGGTGCCCACTGTTAGAAGGCAACTAATAATTAACCTGTCATTGAATCCTGGCATCCTATCTGCACTGGGTGCATGTATTAGCCGTTTTAGCATAACAAATCATCCAAAACTTATTAGTTCATAATTGAGATGTTCAGCCATTCAGGCTAGGCTGAGTGGGTTCGTTATTCCGGTCTCAGCTGAGCTCCTTGAGGTATGTATCATCAGCTGCTTGTTGACTAGCCAGCTGTGCTTCTGGGGGTGAGATTTTAGTTCTGGGACTATCAACAGGGGCACCTTGCTTCTCCTCCCCATTGTATCTTATTTTCCAGCTGGCTAACATGGCTTTATTCATGGAGATGGCAGCATTCTGAAAGAAAAACAGAAGCATTCAAGACCATTTGAGCCTGGGCCCCAAACTAGCCCACTGTAATGTTCGCAAGATCTAGGGTTTGGAAAACAGATGCTGGATCTTGATGGAAACAGCTGTAAATGCACCTGACAATGGGCACGGACACAGAAGGGATGAAAAATTGCCACCATTTTGCAATCAGTATCATTCTACTTTTTTTCCATATGTGGTTCATAGAACTCTTCCACATCAAGCAACTTGTCCAAAGACCCATGGATACTAAGTGGCTAGGCTGAAACTCAGGATTAACTCTGACTCCAAAGCCCATGCACCTCCATAGATCACACTACTAAAGTAGCTGCCCTGCCTCTTAGCTCATTTTCAATGTTGGTTTTATCTTGTCTAAGTGAGTAGCCTTGGAAATAGTCTTATTTTCACCATGTGTTTAATGATAAATATGTATTTCTTTTGTGTGAGAAAAACACTTTCGTGACTTGAAGGTAATTTTTTAAAAGATGTATATTGTATTTTTTCCAGTTTTAAAAAAAATTTGTTGTAAAAACACTTAACATATAATTTACCTTCTTAAATCTACTTAAATATATATGTCAGGGCCAGGCATGGTGGTGGCTCACATCTTTAAAGCCAGGATTTTGAGAGGCCAGGACAGGAGGATTGCTTGAACCTAAAAGTTTGAGACAAACCTTGGCAAAATATGGAGACACCCTCTCCACAAACATTTTTTTTTTTCCAAAAAATAGCCAGGCATGGTGGTGTACACCTGTGGTCCCAGCTACTTTTTTTTTTTTTTTTGAGACGGAGTCTCGCTCTGCCACCCAGGCTGGAATGCAGTGGCCGGATCTCAGCTTACTGCAAGCTCCGCCTCCTGGGTTTACGCCATTCTCCTGCCTCAGCCTCCCGAGTAGCTGGGACTACAGGCGCCTGCCACGTCGCCTGGCTAGTTTTCTTGTATTTTTTAGTAGAGATGGGGTTTCACTGTGTTAGCCAGGATGGTCTTGATCTCCTGACCTCGTGATCCGCCCGTCTCAGCCTCCCAAAGTGCTGGGATTACAGGCTTGAGCCACCGCGCCCGGCCAAGTCCCAGCTACTTTAGAGATTGAGGGGCAGGATTACTTGAGCCTGGGATTGTGAGGCTGCAGTGAGCCATAATTGTGCCATTGCATTCAATCTTGGGTTACAGATTGAGACCCTGTTTCAAAAACAACAACAACAACAACAACAAAAAGCTATATATTTCAGGCATGTTAACTATATTCACATTGTTATGCAAAAGACTTCTAGAAATTTTACGTCTTCTAAAACTAAAACTCAATATCCATTAAATAACATTTACTTGTTTTATGTTCTCTCGAGTCCTTGAAAAACACCCTTCCACTTTCTGTTTTTATGAGTGTGACTATTTTATATATTTCATATAAGTAAAATCATAACATCCATCATTTTGTAACTGGTTTATTTCAGTGGACATAATATTCTCAAAGTGTATCTTTATATGTGACAAGATTTTTTTTTAAGGCTGAATAATATTCCATTGTATCAAACATGTCTTCAAGGTCTTTTATTGCATATTTTAGATATAGATTCATATTGATAATAGTTTTATTTTTATTTGAAGTACATTTATAACGTTATAAAATAATATGTGCGTCCTAGTTTTCTACCAAAAATTCACATGGATTTCTTTTTTTTTTTTTTTTTTGAGACGGAGTCTCCCTTTGTCACCCAGGCTGGAGTTTAGTGGCACGATCTTGACTCACTGCAACCTCCACCTCCCAGGTTCAAGCAATTCTCCTGCCTCAGCCTCCTGAGTAGCTGGGATTACAGGCACGTGCCACCACATCTAGCCAATTTTTGTATTTTTAGTAGAGATTGGGTTTCACCATGTTGGTCAGGCTGGTCTTGAACTCCTGACCTTGAAATCTGCCCGCATCAGCCTCCTGAAGTGCTGGGACTACAGGCGTGAGCCACCTTGCCTGGCCAAGGGTTTTATTGCATCATCAACAGATTTGGTGTTTTTAAAAAATTGATAGTGGCCATTTAAATGGGTGTGAGGGAATTTTTTTTTCATTGTGATTTTTATGCATTTCTCTAGAAATGAGAAATTTTGTGTGTCCTTTCAAATTTTTTTATTTGTACTTTTTGATGAAAATGTATTTCGATTATTTGCCTATTTCTAAATAAATTCATTCAAATTTATTGTTTAGTTTTAAAAGTTGTTTATATTTTTTGAATATTGACTCCTATTACATGTGATTTGTAAATATTTTCACCCATTTTCTATGAGGTCCCATTCCTCTATTAAATGTTTACTTAGATGTGCAGAAATTTTGAAGTGTAGTGTAGATTTTTCTGTTTTTTTCTTTGTTGCTTATGCATTTAATGTTGTAACTAAGAAAGTGGCGCCAAGATTATTGTCATGTGTTTTCCCTATATATTTTTAAATGATGAAGAAGTTATGCGGCCTGGAGCGGCGCCTCACACCTGTAATCCTAGTGCTTTGGGAGGCTGAGGGAGGTGGATCATGAGGTCAGGAGTTTGAGACCAGCCTGGCCAATATGGTGAAACCCTGTTTCTACTAAAAATACAAAAAATTAGCCAGGCATGGTGGTGGGTGCCTGTAATCCCAGCTACTCGGGAGGCTAAGCCAGGAGAATAACTTAAATCCAGGAGATGGAGGTTGGAGTGAGGAGAGACCATGCCACTGCACTCTATCCAACCTGGGCAACAGAGTGAGATTCTGACTCAAAAAACAAAAAACGTTATCTTCTTATGTCTAATTAAAAGATTTTTCCACATATCGTTTAAGGAAATAATCAAACTTTAAATTTTTAAATTTTTTATATTTGTTTTGAGACGAAGCCTCACTCTGTTGCCCAGGCTAGAGTGCAGTGACACAATCTCGGCTCACTGCAACATCTGCCTCCTAGGTTCAAGTGATTCTCCTGTCTCAGCCTCCCGAGCAGCTGGGACCACATGTGTGTGAGACCATGCCTGGTGAATTTTTCTGTTTTTAGTAGAGACGGGGTTTCACCATATTGGCCAAGCTGGTCTCGAACTCCTCAGGTGATCTACCTGCCTCAGCCTCCCAAAGTGCTGGGAGTACAGGCATCAGCCATGACGCCCAGCCTTATTCGTTTGTTCTTGAGATAGGGTTGCACTCTCTCAACCAGGCTGGTTTGCAGTGTTGTGATCATGGCTCACTGCAGCCTCAATCTCCCAAACTCAGAAAATTCTCTGATTTCAGCCTCTCAGGTAGCTGGGTTATAAGTATGTAGCATCATGCCCTGCCAGTTTTTTTGTATTTGGTTGAGACAGGGTTTCGCCACATTGCTGAGACTGGTCTCCAACTTCTGAGATCCAGTGATCAGCCCACCTTAATCTCCCAAAGTCCTGATATTACATTTCTTTTTATTAAGTAGTTTAATTAATTTATATTTAAAATTATTTCTTAAAATGAAATTAGTAGTTTTATTGCTATTGTTTTATGTGTTTGAGTGGTATGTTTTTCCTTATTTACTGTTTTATTGCCTTTTAATTGTGTAGTGACAAGCTTGAATTATTTTTTAAATTTTGTTTTGCATAGTTTCGAGAAATATTATCTTCATAATCATCTTGTGTATTAGTCTGTTTTCATGCTGCTGATAAAGACATACCTCAGACCGGGCAATTTACAAAAGAAAGAGGTTTATTGGTCTTACAGTTTCGTGTGACTGAGGAGTCATCACAATCATGGTGGAAAGTGAAAGGCATGCCCCACATGGTGGCAGACAAAAGAAAGAGAGCTTGTGCAGGAAAACTGCCTTATAAAGCCTTCAGACTTCATGAGACTTATTCACTGTCATGAGAACAGCACAGAAAAGATCTGCCCCCATGATTCAATTACCTGCTACCACGTCCCTCCCACAACATATGGGAATTAAAGATAAGTCTTGGGTTGGGACACAGCTAAACCGTATCATGTTAAAAATGGAGTTCACGTAAAACATCTAAAAATTAAAACAATCTATTTTAATCTCATGACAACTTCAATTGAATATAAAAATTATACCTCTATATTTTTCAGTTTATTAATATTAAGATTTATTTTGTGTATTAACATTTATGCAGATTTTTATTGTTTTAAATATTCTACAGAAGAGCTCTTAAGGGTTTTATGCGTCATCATTATGATAGTAAAGATTTATACATTTGTATGTTTACATTTAATAGAGCTTTATTTTTATGTATGGTTTTATGATGCTGTCCAGTATTATTTTATTTTTAAACAAAATTGACTCATTTTACCTTCTTTTTTGTTGTTGTTGTTGTTGTTGAGACAGAGTCTCCCTCTGTTGCCCAGGCTGGAGTGCAGTGGCACATTCTCCGCTCACTGCAAGCTCCGCCTCCTGGGTTCACGCCATTCTCCTGCCTCCCGAGTAGCTGGGACTACAGGCGCCCCCCACTACGCCCAGCTACTTTTGTTTTTATTTTGTATTTTTAGTAGAAACAGGGTTTCACCATGTTAGCCAGGATGGTCTCGATCTCCTGACCTTGTGATCCACCTGCCTCGGCCTCCCAAAGTGCTGGGATTACAGGTGTGAGCCACCGCGCCCGGCCCATTTCTTTTTTCTTTTTTCTTTTTTTTTTTTTTGAGGCAAAGTCTGACTCTGTCACCCAGGCTGGAGTGCAGTGGCGAGATCTCGGCTCACTGCAACCTCCGCCTCCCGGGTTCACACCATTCTCCTGCCTCAGCCTCTGGAGTAGCTGGGACTACAGGCGCCCACCACCACACCTGGCTAATTTTTTGTATTTTTAGTAGAAACGGGGTTTCACTGTGTTCGCCAGGATGGTCTTGATCTCCTGACCTTGTGATCCTCCCGCCTCGGCCTCCCAAAGTGCTGGGGTTACAGGCTTGAGCCACCGCGCCCGGCATGCAGAGTCTCTGCTGTATTACTCAGGCTGATCTGAATCTCCTGGTCTTTAGTGTTGTGACAGCTTTGGCCTCCTAGAACTGTAGAATTACAGGTATAAGCCACAGTGTCTGGCCACCATGTAGCATTTTTTTGTAGGACTGTGCTAGTGGTGATGACCTCCCTCACTTTTTATTTTGGAAATTTTAAATTTTCATCTTATTCTTAAAGGGAAATAAATTTAAATCAAATATTCTTGGCTACAATTTTTTTCTTTTATTACATCAAAATTTGGGAAGTTCTCACCCTTTATCTTCAAGTAACCACTGTATTATTTTTTTCCCATATTCTTCTTCTAAGATTCCCTTAATGAATATATTGATCTACTTGATGGTACCTAATTGAGTTTTACATTCCATGTTTTAATTTTGTTTTGCAATTTTATATTTTTGTGTTATATATTCTAGCGTATGCCACCACACATCTGTTATTTGTGTTTTGATTTTGTAGTATGTATCATAATTGTGCATGACAATATTTAACTTTGTACAATTTAAGACAATGTGGAGAAAAATCAAATAGGAATCAGCCATATGTCTTTTTCCAGTGGAATTATTTCTATGTTTGTTTGCCTGTGTAAATGTTATCCGTGTTTTTTGTTGTTGTTGTTGTTTTGTTTTTTGTTTTTTTCCGAGACAGAGTTTTGCTCTTGTTGACCAGGCTGGAGTGCAGTGGCATGATCTCGGCTTACTGCAACCTCTGCCTTCCAGGTTCAAGTGATTTTCCTGCCTCAGCCTCCCGAGTAGCTGGGATTACGGGTGCCCACCACCACGCCTGGCTAATTTTTGTATTTTTAGTAGAGACAGTTTACCACGTTGGCCAGACTGGTCTCAAACTCTTGACCTCTTGATCCTCCCTTTTCAGCCTCCCAAAGTGATTACAGGCATGAGCCACCGCACCTGGCTACCCTTGTTGTTGTTGTTTTAATTACTTGTATATTTGTCGTTTAGGTTTGTTGTGAATGGTTTTCTAATCTTGTGTAGATGAGTACTCATAAAATTCTTGTAATTTCAATATCCTATTTATGAATCTATATGATTTTTGTTGGGAGAAACACTTGAATTTGAATATAATTTATAACTATCATAACTCTGTATCTCTTTTGGGTATTATTGTTTACTTGTCAAAAAAATAACAAAATTTAGCACAAAATATTTTAAAATACTCAGTTTAGTCATATTAATTATCTTGACATTGCCATGCAACACATTGCTAAAATGTTTTTATCTTGCAAAGCTAAATCTTAATACATACTGATTACCAATTGTTTCTTTCTTTTTTTTTTCTTTTTTGAGGTGGAGTCTTGCTCTGTCACCCAGGCTGAAGTGCAGTGGCGCCATCTCAGCTTGCTGCAACCTCCACCTCCCAGGTTCAAGTGATTCTCGCTCCTCAGCCTCCTGAGTAGCTCAGATTACAGGTGCCCACCATCATGCCTGGCTAATTTTTGTATTTTTATTAGAGATGGGGTTTCACCGTGTTGGCCAGGCTCATTTTAAACTTCTGACTTTAGGTGATCCGCCCACTTGGGTCTCTCAAAGTGCTCGGATTACAGGTGTGAGCCAACACGCCTGGCCCCAATTTTTTCTGTTTTATGGCACTTTGTGAACATCACTCTGTTCTTTGTTTCTAAGAGTGTAACTCCTTCGTGTATCTTATACAATCTGTCTTTTTGTGGCTGGCTCATTTCATTTTGCATAATGCCATCAACATTTATCTTTACACTTGGTACAATATTTCCTGCTTTTTGAAGACTGAGTAATATTTCAGAATCTTTATATTTCAAATTATGTCTACTGAATGATTTGGCGAAAGAAATTTGCATTGCTTTTACCTATTGGCTTGCAGTAACAATGCTGCAATAATTATGAGTATGAAAATGACTCCTTATATGACCATGTATGTGAACGTTTATATATGTGCTGCATTCTATTTTATTAGTCTACTTTTTCACCTTTATACTTATACCAAATTGTTTTAATTCTGTAGCTTTGTAGTGTGTTTTAATCAAGAACTTTAATGCCTGCAGCATTGTTCCTTTTATTTTTTGAAGATTGTTGGGTACTTTATTGTCTCTTGCGATTCTGTATACTTTTGGGGTTGCTGTTCCTGTTTCTTCAAAAATGCAGTGAGAAATTTGAAAAACATTGCGTTAAGTCTGTGGATTGCATTGAGCAGGATGGACCTTTTCGCAATATTAACTATTTCAACCTTTGTATAAAAGCACACTCAAGGGTGTGTTGTTTAATTTCTATATATTTGTAAATTTTTCAGTTTTTCTCTCTTATTGTTGAATACTCATACTCCATTTTACTCATAGAAAGTAGTTCATAGAAGTTTACTTTTAAAAAATTTGGTAAGACTTCCTTTTTGGCTTAAGATGTGGTTTATCAAGGAAAATGTATGAGCTATTGAGAAGGGTGTGTATTCTGATGTTGTTGAGGAGTGTTCTCCATAACTCTGGAATAATTGTTTTATACTGCCTTTAAGTCGTCTGTTCGCTTATTAACATTCTTTCCTATTTTATTTTTATTATAGTAAGTGTGGCATTAAAATATCTTGCTATAATTATATTGCATTCTGTGTGTTTCTTCCGTTCTGTCAATATTTGCTCTATATATTTGGAACCCTAATGTGAGACACACACACATGCACACACACACACACACACACAAATTTTTCATAGGTTCCCAGTGAATAAATCTATTAATTTTTGATGTCCTTCTTTGTTTCTTTGGAGTTTCCATTTCAAGTACATTTTATAAAATATTATAATTTTTCACTTAAGATGTAGCTTGTGTAAGATTATTTTGACTGTTTCTGCTCTCATTTGATTAATATTTTCATGGAATGTCTACTTTCTTCCTACCTCTTCCAGTCTTTTTTTATCATTAGATTTCAACTGACTCTTGTAGAAAGGCAAGATGAATCTCGGTCTTTAAAATATTTTAATAAAACTATTTATTGAAAGTATGTCTCAATTTAAAAGTTAATTTTATATATATTTAAATAATTTTCTGAAATAGAAAGATTGTTACTTCATTAAGTATTTTATTTGATTCTTGCATCTTTGTTTTTTATTCTCTTTCCATCTTTCTTTGTGTCTTTTTGATATTTATATTGATAGGCTTTCACTTATTTTGTTTTGTGTATTTATACAAATATTTTTGTGGTACCTTGGGGTATTACATATAACCTTTAAAAGATACAACAACATATTTTAATCTGGTAAATAAACTTAAGTTGTATACAAAAATTTGTTCTTATTACACTTTCCCTCAAATTTGTCATTGATGTTGTTAATGGTATCTTTTTATATTGTATATTCATTAATGAATATTTATGATGATTTCTATGCTTTTATCCTTAAAATTTCAGAGAATAATTAAAAATGTTTTCTGCACCACTAGGGTAATGCTAAGAAATTCTACTTTTGTGTATTTGCATATTTTTTCCCAGAAAATCATGTATTTTTATATTATTCTGGTTTTTTTTTTTTTTTAAATCATGTTATTTTCAGTAGAATGAACTGTTTTCAACACCTTTTATCTGTAAGGCATATGCACTTCCAATATACTTTTTTAGAATTTGGTTACTTTGGAAGGTGTTTACTTTTTTTATTTGGCAGGACAGATTCACTGATGGTATTATTCTCAATTAATTGAAGCTATTTTTTTTTCACAATTTTTTTCATGACTACATCACACAGTTCCTTTATGGCCTGCAAAATTTTTGTTAACAGTTCACTGATTATCTCATGAGAGTATGTTTGTAAATGGCACATCACTTCTTTTCTTTTCTTTTTTCTTTTTTTTTTTTTTTTTTTTTTTGTGGAGACAGAGTCTCACTGTATCCCTCAGCCAGGCTGGAGTGTAGTGGTGCGACGTGAGCTCACTGCAGTCTCCACTTACCGGGTTCAAGTGGTTCTCCAGCCTCAGCTTCCTGAGTAGCTGGGATTACAGGCATGCACCACCACGCCTGGCTAATTTTTGTAGTTTTAGTAGAGATGGGGTTTCACCATGTTGGTCAGGTTGGTCTCAAACTCCTGACCTCAGGTGATCAGCCCACCTCAGCCTCCCAAAGTGCCTGGATTACAGGTGTGAGCCACCGTGCCTGACCTGAAACATCAGTTTTATCTTGCAGCTTCAAAGATAATCTTTTTGTCTGTGACTTTTGAAATTGTGCTTATGTATGTGTTTGTAATAAATATCTTTTTGTTATTCTAGTTTGTTGAGCTTTTTTATTTTTACATCTTTTTTTTTTTTTTTTTTTTTTTTTTTTTTTACTTTTAGGATCTGTCAGTTTTTTTTGGTGTATATTTTATCTCCACAATTTCTGTTTTTTGATATCTTAAATATTTTTTATTCTCATCTTCATTTTTCTAATTTTCCATAGTTGTCTCTGTTCCTATTTTAATCAGTTTATTACCAAATATTAAAATTAATGTATACATCTTTTTTATGGTTTCAGAAAATTTTATGATATTTTTGGTGGTATTGTATTGTCCTATTTTATATATATTATAATCTTTGATTGAGATTTGGACATTAAAAAAAGCTTCCTGTCAAAATCTTTATAATGTAGCTTTGTCCTGGCATATTCTGAAAACAATTTTCTTGGCTGTTGATTATGAGAGTTCCTTAAACATGTTCTTAGGATATGTGTTGTCTGAAATTTTGTGTTTATTCTTTAGTTAAGAGAGTTTACTCATGTTACTTTGTAGAGTCAGTCATCACTTGCTACACCTGTTCCATTTCTGTGGCACTGCAGTCTGTCTGCTGCTGTATGTAACATTTTTCTTTGGTCTCAGCAGACTCAAACTCTCATTCCAAAATATACCACCATTTCTTTCAGTACTTTATGTCGTGAGAGACAGAAACCAGTGTCAGGAAAAACCACTAGAAGCCAGAAATGACAATGAGTGTGCCAGTATTTTACCTTTCTTTTAAAACAGAAACCAAGAGTTGGCAATTTAGTTGTAAAGGCACTATGTTATAGTGGGAACCAGGAAAAGATGTGTTGAGTAAATTTAACAGACTTTTCTTTTTCTTCCACGTTTCTTTTGCATTGTGCTCATGTGGGACACTGCACACACTTGACTCATTTATAACTTTTCCACAGATGTATTTTGGTCTGTATGTTTTTGTTACATTTATGTCTATGAAAGAATTAGGGCCTGTGGTATTTTGCAGTGCCATCTTGTTTATGTAGTTTGAATAATTTTATAGGTAAGATTTTAAAACTGTATTCATCTGAGTCTAGTAAATGAAGTAATTTATTTATTTATTTATTTATTTATTCAGGTATATGTCCTCGTTTTGCTCAAGACCTTTGGCCAGAGCAGGGCATGGATGATTCTTTTCAAAAAGTAATACTGAGAAGATATGAAAAATATGGACCTGAGAATTTACAGTTAAGAAAAGGCTATAAAAGTGTGGATGAGTGTAAGGTGAACAAAGAAGGTTATAATGGACATAACCAGTGTTTCACAACTGCCCAGAGCAAAGTATTTCAAAGTGATAAATATTTGAAAGTCTTATTTAAATTTTTAAATTCAAACAGACATAAGATAAGACATACTGAAAAGAAATCTTCCAAAGGTAAAAAATGTGTCAAACCATTTTGCATGCTTTCACATAAAACCCAACACAAAAGCATTTATCATAGAGAGATGTCCTACAAATGTAAAGAATGTGGAAAAACCTTTAATTGGTCCTCAACCCTTACTAATCATAGGAAAATTTATACTGAAGAGAAACCCTACAAATATGAAGAGTATGGCAAAGCTTCTAAGCAACTGTCAACCCTTACTACACATGAAATAATTCATGCTGGAGAGAAACTCTACAAATGTGAAGAATGTGGTGAAGCTTTTAATCGACCCTCAAATCTTACTACACATAGAATAATTCATATGGAGAAACCTTACAAGTGTGAAGAATGTGGCAAAACATTTATCTGAGGTCCTCAACCCATACTGAACATAAGAATTCATACTAGAGAAACCCTACAACTACATGAAGAGAATGTAGCAAACATTTATATGAGTCCTCAACCTAACTAGACATAAGAGGATGCTGCACACACTGGAGAAACCCTACAAATGTGAAGAATGTAGCAAGCTTTTTGTGTCTGTGTACACACATAAGATAATTCTTACAGGGGAAAACCTTTTTACAAATCTTCACACGAATGTAAGCTTTTAAGCAACTCTCAACTCTTTACACATAAATAATTCATGTTGGAAAATATATTAAATGTGAAAGAATGGCAAAGGTTTTAATCGATCTTCAAATCTTACTACACATAAGATAATTCATACTGAAGGAAACACAAGTGTGAAAGATGTGGCAAAGCTTTATCTGGTCCTCAACCTAACTAAACATAAGAATTCTGTACTAGAGAGGAAACCACAAATGTGAAGAATGTGGCAGAGACATTTATATGGTCCTCCAACCTAACTAGACATAAGGATGCCTGGAGAGAAACCCTACAAATGTGAAGAGAATGTGGCAAAGCTTTTATTAATCCTAACCTTTCCTCACCATGATGGGTCATACAGAAACCCTGAATGTGATGAAGAATCATGACAAGCCTTACTGGAGAGAAACCCTACAAATGTGAAGAATGTGGCAAAGCCTTTAACTGGTCCTCAACTCTTACTAAACATAAGATAATTCATACTGAAGAGAAACCCTACCAATGTGAGAAATGTGGCAAAGCCTTTAAGCAGTCTTCAATCCTTACTAACCATAAGAGAATTCATACTGGAGAGAAACCCTACAAATGTGAAGAATGTGGCAAATCTTTTAGCCGGTCTTCAACTTTTACTAAACATAAGGTAATTCATACTGGAGTAAAACCCTACAAATGTGAAGAATGTGGCAAAGCCTTTTTCTGGTCCTCAACCCTAACTAAACATAAGAGAATTCATACTGGAGAGCAACCCTATAAATGGGGAAAATGTGGCAAAGCTGTTAACCAGCCCTACCTCACCACAGATAGGATAACTCATATTGGAGAGAAATATTACAAGTATGAATAATGTGCCAAAGCCTATAAAAGTCCTCAATTCTTAGTAGATATAAGATTATTCATACTGGAGAGAAACTACAAACCTGAGAGAGGTACTGATGCATTTGACAATACCTCAAACTTGAAAGAAAATCATTCTGCTGAAAAATCCTAGAAATGTGAAAAATGTGACAAAGCCTTTAAATGATTGTCACACTTGATTGTAGGTAAGATAATTCATACTGGAGAACTACCAGTGTGAACAATGTGGCCAAGCTTCGAACCAATGCTCACACCTTATTGCACAGGAAAGCATTTATACTTGAGAACAAATGTACAAATATAGGCAAAGTAAAAAAGCCATTAATGCCTGCCCACATCTTACTCAAAATCATAGAGTTCATAGTAAATAAAAGCATTAAAATCTACTCTCAGAAGATCAGAAAATATGTTTTTAAAGTATAGAAGAGTATTTATTTTGAAAAAGCAATACAAATATGAAGAGGATTGTAATATCTTTACTTGCATCACAGATCTTATTGTACACATTTTGTACTAGAGAAAAACCCTCAGGCAGTTGTTAAAATTGTGTTGAACATCAGGGAGTTTATATTGAAGAAAACCCTGCAAGTGTAATGAATATGGAAAAACATTTTTTCAAAAACTACAAATTATAAACCACTGAGGTGTTCATCTAAAATATATTTTTGTAGATGCATTAAATATGAAAGATACTCAATCCAAAATTAAGTCTCTCTGTATATCAGGGAACAATTCACAGTAGAAATATCTAGGGTGCTCAAACATTAGACATTACACTAAATCAGAGTGCTGAGTGTAGAAAATAATACAAACTAAAATTTGTGTAAACATTATTTGTATATAACTTTACATTCAAAGTACTTTTATAAAAATACAGATTTTTTAAAAAGTGAATAACGTGTTAAACTCTTAAATTACTTCATGCTGTTTCATCATTCCTAGTGTATTCACATGTGAAAGCATGTGACTAATTGTTGCTGCATAAAATATATGAGATTCTTTTTTATTAGGCATTATTTATGATCTTTTCTATGAAAAGATAAGGACATTAAAATGTAAGATGCATGATGAAAATTTAAGTAGAGAGGCTCTTTGTGGTTAACTTATAATATTGAGTGATGCATGAGGTAGGTGTTCATTATGAATGAAAAACATTCTTAATTTTAGTTAAAATTAAGTTATATGTTATTTTATTAATTGTACTTCTATGGAATAATATGCAGTATATTTTTAAATTACAAATTATGTGTGAACTTAGCTTTTCAATTCAACATTTTTAATGTGTTAAATACTATTGTGAATTCAGTGAAGTGTTCTTATGCCACTAACATTAACCTATTCCACCTTACTCAAGGGTGTAGGTAAAAGATGATAACAATACACTGTTTTGTAAGATAATGGACTGTCATCTCTAGCAATCTTTTTTGCCAGTGACTTTAAATTGCCAATAAGTTAAAGAATATTGTTCCTATAGGTTAAATTTTTATTCTTATTTTCAGATTTAAATTTATTTTTCTTAATTTTTGTGGATACATAGTATGTGTATATATGTATGCCATTTATGGTATATTTTGATGCAGGCATACTCTATATAATAATCACATTAGAGGAAATGAGATATCCATTACCTCTAGCATTTATTCTTTTTACTACAAGCAATTCAATTCTACTGTTTTAGTTATTTTTAAATTTACAATTGTTATTGACTACAGGGTCATTTTTATGGTCATAATAAAAAATTATATACAAACATGTAAAATCCATACATTTCTGAGTTCTGAATAAATATTTTTAAAAATTTTAATATATTTTTCTTTGAACATGTGGCCTCTGCCCGCAAGGACATATGGACTCTTAGAATTGATTTACATAAAATTAAATATATATACATCTGTTAAAGATAAACCTTAGGTGTAAATAAATTATGGAGTAAGTATGTTTGTGTGAGTACAGGTTTGAAAGTTTTTAGCAGCAAAAAGCAATATTGGAACAAAATAAATTATTTTAATAAGGTGTCTAATTTACTAGAAAACAAAAATTTTCAAAAATGCTGAAACCAAATTCATGCTATTTGCTTTGTGTTGAATTTATTACTGTACAGTCTTTGGGCTTATGATTCAGAATCTCCCCATGCAAATTCTATGTTTTAACTTGACTGGTACTCATGCTAGACCCACAACTTTGTTTTTTTTTTGTTACTTGTTTGCTTGTTTGTTTGTTTATCTATTTATTTTTGAGACAGAGTCTTGCTCTGTCACCAAGGCTGAAGTTCAATGGTGCGATCTCAGCTCACTGTAATCTCTGCCTTTTACGTTCAAGCAATTCTCCTGCCTCAGCCTCCCAAGTAGCTGGGATTACAGGTGCCCGCCACCATGCCCAGCTAATTTTTGTATTTTTAGTAGAGATGAGGTTTCACCATGTTGGTCAGGCTGGTCTTCAACTCCTGACCTTAGGTGATCCGCCCACCTTGGCCTCTGAAAGTCCTGGGATTACAGGCATGAGCCACTATGCCTGACCTGTGTAATAGTTTTAGAAGTATTATGTGAGCTGGTCTGTAATTATAAGAATATATATATTTTTAATTTTGCTGTTCCTTAAGTTATTGGGGTACATGTGGTATTTGGTTAGATGAATAAGTTCTTAAGTGGTGACCTGTGAGATCCTGGTGCAACCATCATCTGAGCAGGATACACTCCACCATATAAGTTGTCTTTTATCTCCCCTTGCCACTCTTTCCCCGAAGTCCCCAAAGTTCATTGTATAATTCTTATGCTTTTGTGTCCTCATAGCTTATCTCCCACATATCAGTGAGAACATATGATGTTTGGTTTTCCATTCCTGAGTTACTTCACTTAGAATTACAGTCTCCAGTCTCATCCAGGTCATTACAAATGCTGTTAATTCATTCTTTTTTGTGGCTGAGTAGTAGTCCGGTGTGTGTGTGTGTGTGTGTGTGTGTGTGTATCCACTCATTGATTGCTGGGCATTCCAGTTGGTTCTGTGATTTTTTTTTTTAGTTGCGAATTGTGCTGCTAGAAACATGCATGTGCAAGTATCTTTTTCAAATAATGACTAGTTTTTCTCTGGATAGATACCCAGTAGTGGGATTGCTGGATCAAATGGTAGTTCTACTTTTAGTTCTTTAAGGAATATCCACACTGTTTTTCATTGCAGCTGTACTAGTTTACATTCCCACCAGCAGTGTAGAAGTTGTTTGAAATGTTTATTCCTTAGTGCCATAAAGAAATAGCACTTGAACATAAATTTAATTTGTTTAATAAGGCCATTTTTACTTCCTGCAGAAAGTGCACACTCGCCAGCAGTTTTGCCACGAAAGTACAATGAACAAAGGAGACAGGGTCATTTATAACCTGACGCTTCCACCCTACTGTTGTGTCCGGTTTCTGTTGGCTGGAATGGGACCTCACATTCTGTATTTGTCCTGATTAGCTAGCAACTTAGAACTTTTTAAAAGAGGCAAAGGTAAAGGAGAACAAAGAAAGGAGTGAGTAACTTGTGGAATGCTGAGAAAGGTAAAACCACTTTTAAATAAGGAAGAGGAACAGGCTATGACCTAATGCTTGCGTGGACCACTATAAGCATGCCAGGGCAAATATTTAGGAGTACAGGCCTTTGAATAAATTTTGCTTCTAAGAAAAGTTACCATTTATTCCTAATCAGATGGGGGGAAAAAACTTTGAAGAGGAACCTCTACTTTACTTTTTACAAAGTGTTCCCTAATCACCGCATCCATGCCAACATCTACAGTCTTTTGATCTTTTGATTATGACCATTCTTGCAGGAATAAGGTGGTTTTGCATTGTGGTTTTGATTTTCATTTCCCTGATCAATAGTGATGTTGAGCATTTTTTCATATGTTTGTTGTCCATTTGTATATCTTCTTTTGAGAATTATCTTTAGCACAGTTTTTGATTTTTGTTTTCTTACTGATTTGTTTGAGTTCCTTGTAGATTCTGTATATTAGTCCTTTGTCAGATGTATAGATTTTGAAGATTTTCTCCCACTCTGTGAGTTGTCTGTTTACGC